CAGTTTCCAGTTTCTTGGTTGGGATAGCCTTGGTGCTACATGCATTTGGGATGTTGAATCATCTTTTGATTCATTATCTCATTTTTCTTGTGCTTTGTTATGGATTATTACATTTACATTTTGCATCCTTGAAATATGAGATTGAGATCATGTGGTGCCAACATTTTTACATCCTATGTGTGCTTTTAGTTACTAAATTATGTTCCTTTTTTGAATCCTTTTATATGCCTTGCATAGTTTTCATGCCATTGCAAATTCACTAGATGAAAAATGCTACCAGTGATTAAGCTGCATTTGATGTGGTATTATACACGCTTGACAGGAGGATGGCAAGATGGTGCTACAGCCGTATGCGTTTGGGTCTTAGGCCAAACAGTATGTCTTTATCGTCTCTGTTAACTGTGTCAAATCAAGTCAGTAGTTGGGGGATGTACCCCATCAAGAGCTTTTACCTAGATGTGACTTTGGAAATTGGAAACTCTTTGATTCTATGTGAATGTTCTTAGACTTATTCTCTGCCCTTTTCCATCCTGTTTGTGTATGCAGTGATCCATGGTACTTTCCATATACAATAGACCAGAGATCTTCTAGGCTTGTAAACTTTCTTTAAAGTACTTTATTACTTTGATTTTCTTTAACTTCTTTAAGAACTTTTGCATTTTCTTTTTGTTTGAAGATTTACCTGGCAGGAAGAGGAAATATAAGGGACAGTTTCATATGAGAAAAAAGAAACTAAGATGGCAGATTAATGCTTAAAAAGTAATTTGTAAATTAGCACATGGAAAGATTTATGAAGCCGGAGATAAAAAAAAAAAAATTTGTTTCCCTTCTCCAGTTTTAATCTCCCCCACCCCTGGATTAAAAGATGTTGATCCTTTTGCCCCCTATCAGTTGCAATTCTATAACGGCACAAAATATTTGCAGGTGTTTGTTGCTAATGTTGGCGATGCAAAGGCAGTGATAGCCCGATCAACTGTTGTGGATGGATCGCAACACAACTCTACAACTACAGACTCATTAAAGGCCATTGTGTTGACCAGGGAACATAAAGCCATATACCCACAAGAACGAGCACGCATCCAAAAGGTATATTTGTTAAATCCCCCCCCCCCCCAAAAAAAAAAAATGATATATGGTGAGTTGTTGGGTAGTTGTAGTTTTGGAACTTTCTTAGAACTTCAGTTCAACAGGGTATTGCGGTTTTATCTTTTTGGTTAATTTGCTAAAATAAAATTAGTAAAACTGAATGCATGTGTTGGCAAATTCCATAATTTGAATGAGCTTTGCCAAAATAGTTAATGTTGATGCTAGGAGAAACTGACGGTTTTAGATGGCTTCAAGTCATCAAAAGCTGCATTTGCTGGGTCAAGTAGATGGTCTCCTAGAAGAGTTGGATCACCTATGCTTGAGTTTTTTTTAAAATTTTTTAAAATTATTTTGCCTCTTGGATTAACCCAGATCATATCAACATTGTGAATATCGAAAGTTTCTCCTCATGAATATCCATGCTCTTTAGGCTGGCGGTACTGTAAGTTCAAATGGCGTCTACAAGGGCGACTTGAAGTTTCTAGAGCTTTTGGAGATCGGCAATTCAAGAAGGTTTTTACTGCTACTGCTTGCCTCCTGGACAACTTTCTTTTGCACCTACATTTGATCTGTTCTGTTTCTTGCCTTCAAAAGTGCATTCATATTAAGGAAGTTGATATTATAGTTTCTATATGCAAGCCTTCTTTTTGTCCATATGTTCTGCATGTTTGAACTCATCAAAACTTGATATTTTTAGATTCTGTTGTTCCAAAGATTGAAGCGTTTCTCTGGGGCTATTAACTGTTGTTGTGCTGGTAATTTGATTGCCAGGAAGTAGTGGAAAGGTTGGCAAACATAAGCATGCTTTCAAGTAAGTTATTAATGGGGGATTTCTTGATGAATGAGGGAGTCTTCCTGTTTTTGTTTTATCACTTCTCTTTGCCATGGGACGTGCAATTTTGAGTCCTCTGTGTGTGTGTGTGTGTGCGTCTTTTCTTTACTCTTTTTTTTTTCTTTTAAATTCCTGTTAAATGGTGGTTAAATCCAGGTGGAGTTTCTGTGATTAGGTGATTTTTGTTTTGGATAACTGTGATGTTGAAGGATTACAAGGTGTATCTTTTTTTTGTTTTATGTAGGTTGTTGGCACTTATGATATTTAGTTGCCTTACCATGCAGGTTGGTGTGGTTGCAACCCCTGATATTCATTCATTTGACCTTACAGAGAGAGACCACTTCATCATTCTTGGATGTGATGGCTTGTGGGGAGTATGTGCATTAGAAACTTTCCTTTATCAGTTCCTTGAGGTTCCTGGTTCAAAATAATGGCATACATTATTGATACTATTTGCTATCATTAGGTATTTGGACCTAGTGATGCTGTTGAATTTGTCCAAGTTGTTACAGGTTTGAAACTTGTACATATTGGTTTTATTTGTTCTGCCTTGAACTTGTATCATTGCTGCTTACCTGTGTTATCAATATAATGTACTACTGATGAGCTTTTGGCTAATGAGCATTTCATTACGATTAAATGCCCAATTAGTGGTGCGCTTAGAGTTGTATCTATCTGTGACAAGGATGTGAGCTGTTATAAAAGTTGCCATCTGGCAGTAGTTAATTCTTCAGTTGCTCTTTCCCTGTTTCCCAACGTTGTATCCCTGCTCATGTGAATAGTCTAGACTCTTTCCTGCTCAATGCACATAAACTATGAAGATAGTTCATAAGGTGTTAAGAGTTGTGTGTTTGGAAAAAATTTTTGGTTGCGTGACAACTGTGTTTTTCGGTCACCTCTTTATCTTTCCAACCATTTTTATCTTACGTATATCACATCACAAAAAGTATTACACTACTATTCTAAAAACATCCCAAATAATCTCCTATCTGAACACACATTTTGATTTCTGAATTATTGTAAAATATGTAGTGTGGAATATATTTCTTTAAAAGTTTATACATGCGAAAGAATTTGAAGGCTTTAGGATTGCAGCGTGTTCAACCTTTGTGCTCTTCTGGCAGGATGGTTTACCTGTTGCAGTGGTGAGCCGCCACCTAGTTCGTGAAGCAGTCCGTGAGCGCCGGTGCAAAGACAATTGCACTGCAATTGTTATCGTTTTTAGGAAAAAATAGCTTGCTATAACTGTTAGAAATGTGCAACTGAGGTGCTACTTGTAGAGGAGTAGTTCTGTCCTCTTTGCTCCGCGCAGTTTGACAACATAGCTTTTTTCTGTTTTTTTCCTTGATCTTGTACTGTAAGCATGGTTGTACGATATCTTTCTGTTTAATGTGCCATTCCATTGAGAAGGGGAAAACTTTGCCTGTGAGAAAGAGTTTTGTACTACAATTTCAAGTTTACTGTTACGTTTTTTTCACTCGTATTCTGCTTGCATTTAGTTTCCTTTGGATGCAAGATGTGCAAAAGAGTAGCAAAACAAGGACCTCCACGGTGATGAGCATGGGAATAATGAGGTAAAATAATGCAAAAATACTAAGATATACAGGCAAGAATACAAAAGAAAAAGAAGCAGATGGGTTGTCACTTGTCGGTGATGCTAAATGGCCGTGCATGTTAGTTCTGATTTGAAGCAGAGCCGAGGCAATTGTATTGCTGTACTGAATCCACCAAAACCAAACTTTTCCATCAAGTTGTTCGCTTCACATCAAGATGACAAGGGGAGATCCCAATCGAGCGCAGAAAGAGATTTTTTTAACCTTATTCATGAATCCTCTTTCAAAGGCTTCCTTCCAAGGTAAAACAAAAGCAGAAAAGCAATCCTCGTTAAATTCGGGGCATTAGAAGGTTTTGGCAAGACTGCAATGTGGAAACAAGAAGAATATTCTCCCTTGGGCACAGTCCCACCATATGAACTTTTGTCTGGTTCATGATGATCCACAAAACAACTGAATAAACATCGAACCTGATTGGAAAATTCAATGATTTGCATAACATGGGTTGTCACTCTAGTCGTGGCTTTGGGGAGCCACCCCCTGCAGAAGCAGCAGAACACATATTTTATGTACAGAGGTTCTAACGTTTTAAAGATACGATGTATTTGTTCCCAAGCAGAATATATCTTACGTTAAAAAGCGTAGCCTTAAAATTGGACGTCTAAATGCAGTTACATGCATTAATTCTTGTTCTCTTATGGGTCTTTGCCAACTGATCCGAGTATCTATCCACCGTTTTACAAAGTTGCAGTTGCCAAAGTGAAAAAGGAAGGATTCTTTCATCTTGATTTTTCCGGTCATCAACCAATTAACAAGCACTAACTACTAATACCGTAAAATAGACAAATTGACATCAATTAAGTTCTCATCCTCAGATTTAATCATTTGCAGCTAAATTCAGTGAAATAAAATTATATGTGCTTAATCATGTATGACTGATTCTATAAAATCAACTCATTTATGCGGTACAAAGTATACTATTTTGCATTTTTACTTACTAAGCTCGAAGACCTAAACTGTTTCAGTTTCGATTAACTTTGTCAAGCTCACAGTACATGAAAGAAAATAAAAATGGAGTTATGGTCAATGTTTTAAAAGGTCAGGCTCCCCATTCAAGTCTTCAGCTAACTTGCCAACACGTTCCACCTCTTCATTGTCTCCTTAACAAAGTTCAGTTTTCAGTCAATAATCCAATGAGATTTAGATAAAGCAAAATCTCCATAATCAAAAGATTATGTGCAAGCCATAATAGAAACATACATTTTAATATGTATCCCCGCAATCAATGCACATTGTGCATTATTTGGATGCCATTTACATCTTATAATAACTCTAAATGATTAATCAGCATATGATAGTGAGGCTGTACGTTTAGCCTCCATCATGCATAAAATAAGTACACATTTTCCTTAATGCTGTCCCTCCATGCATGTATATATCTAGCACTAGTCCGTTTGTCCTCGCAGTACTTTATGATCTAACACCCTCTACAGAAACAAAAGAGAAAAGAAGATATGGGACAAGGAAGCCCTTCATCTGAGAAAATGAAGCTGCTTATTGCACTGCTCATTTTGCAGCTGTGCTTTGCAGGATTTCACATTGTCTCAAGAGTTGCACTTAATATTGGTGTCAGCAAAATTGTATACCCAGTTTATAGGAATATCATTGCATTGCTTCTACTAGGACCCTTTGCTTATTTTATGGAAAAGTGAGACTTCAAGTGTCCTAACACAGTTTGTCATTTGATATCTCTTTTTGAAAAGAGAGTTCAATTGATAGTTCGATTTTTCTTGTTCCAGGTTGCTCATAACTGTTCTTTCTGTCTCCCTTTCACAGGAAAGATAGACCACCTCTTACTTTCTCCTTGCTGGTTGAGTTTTTCCTCCTAGCATTAGTGGGGTAAGTGTTACACTAATGTGAAGCATCAAGCAAAGTGCAACTAAAGTCGATTTGTGGTTTTCTCGAGTCTTTGATCATTTGACGTTTCTCCTTCAGGATCACAGCAAACCAAGGATTTTATATCCTAGGTTTGTACTATGCATCTCCAACCTTTGCATCCGCTATGCAAAATTCAGTTCCAGCGATTACATTTGTCGTGGCATCTGCTCTGGGGTAAGCAAGATTACTTTTCATGTTTTCTGAGTGCACAGAGTTTCAAAATACAAATTCTAACAAATTGGATCTCCATTCAGACTCGAGCAAGTTAATGTTACGAGGAGGGATGGTTTAGCTAAGATTCTGGGGACCATAGCAAGTGTAAGTGGTGCTACAATCATAACCCTTTACAAAGGTCCTCCCCTTCTCCACCACAGCCCGGAAAGCAAATCGTTAGAAGAGGACATGCTTTTCTCTTCAATGAAAAAGCAGAATTGGACATGGGGCTGTGTCTGCCTTCTCGGACACTGCTTATCTTGGGCTGGCTGGATGGTGGTTCAGGTGTGCCTAAAACTCAATAAATTGCTTCATTCTGCAGTTCATACTAATGTTACACTTACAATCATGTGCTTGCTGTTGATACACTTGAACACTATGTCACATAAATCGACGTATTGAGAGAATTCAAACGCGGATGAATTTGAATCACGGGAAAGTCTTTTATCTAATCATGGGAATACCTTACTAGAATGCTACTGATTGTTGAAGAGGCATTAGATATTCAGATTTCACAGTCAAATGATCATTACTAGTCATTTTGTCAGCTTAAGATAAATCAGTGAACAATAGGTTGCTCAATCCTGAATTGGAGGAACATCCTTAGTTCAGTTTGTAAGAACGGGCCACTTATTCACTTATTCATAAAAAGGTCATGTGTTTGAATCTTGTTATCAATATGAGAATTATGTTGGTGGGCTATTTATAAAAATTTCTATAAGCGACTTATAGGCATGCATTGACCCATGGTAGTGACCGAAGTCAAACCCACCCAAACTTTTTCATAAAAAAAAGAAAAGAAAAAAGTCTGACATTCTATGTCATCAGCATCTAGCCTTATTAATTGCTACTTGAACTGTTTTTCAGGCTCCAATTGTTAAGAAGTATCCAGCAAAGTTGTCACTGACTCATTTACATGCTTCTTCGGATTGATCCAATTTCTGATCATAGCAGCTTTTGCAGAAAGGGATCCCAATCACTGGCAAATCCAGTCAGGGGAGGAGATTTTCACTATCCTTTATGCTGTAATGTTTCAAATCAAATGACTTAAGTACTGTTTCATACTCACTGTTCTCCATCCTAGGAGCTTGATGTAAAACCTTCATCAATCATACAACCTAATTAACCTCCTATACTTGTTACTTTAGGGAATTGTGTCTTCGGGATCGTGATCTCTCTTCAAACTTGGTGTATTCAAAAAGGAGGTCCAGTCTTCGTAGCCATCTTCCAACCAGTTCAAACGTATTAGTAGCTCTTATGGCATATGTGATTCTTGGGGATCAGTTTTACACCGGAGGGTACGTCAAAGACTTTGCGAAAAGGAAAACAAAATGCAACTTCTGCATTCCAATATGTATCTCCAGATTCTACAAACTCCTTCTGTATCTCCAAATTCTTTAGTTTTTTCGACTTCTCTGCAGGATTGTTGGAGCAGCTCTTATTGTCGTTGGACTGTACTTAGTATTGTGGGGGAAAACTGAAGAGAAGAAACAAGAAAACAAAGATGCTAACGAGACATTGACAAAACATCTTCTTGATGACAGCAATAAATCCAAAAATCCCGTTGCTCAATCTGACATTCCATAGGATATCGACTGCATAGAGGTTTACAATAACCAAAGGATGTTGCTGGACATGAATATTATTGATCATGATATTGGAAGGAAATATCCATATGGTCAGTGAAAAAGTAGCAGCATCTCAACATGTAACTCTCAGTGGATTCTTTGCCCTACCGAATTAGTAATAATAATTTTCAAAATGATCAACCTGGCTTGGTTAAGCGAGCAAGTGCAATGAACAGAGCTTAAGGCGATCATTGTGTTCTCGTATCCCCTTTGTCTTCGAAAATTGAGAGATATCCCATTGACTGAAGACTGCAATTAAATTGTCTGATTTAGCTGGTTTGCCCTGTATATATCAAGCTACTGAAGTAAAATTCGTTCTCGAAATATACTAGCAAAATTCACTTATTCCTTGATGTCTTGCAGAAGACATCTGTACTTGTACCTTCTTGAATTAAAGAAATTTCAATTATTTTAAAGTTGAATGTGATTGGATTGGATTTGTACATAGTTTACTATTTGTCTGAAGGTTGATCGTTCTCGTTTCATGGTTTTTTTTTTTTTTTTTTTTTTTTTTTTGTCTATTGTCACCGTCTACAATTACTCCTACTCCTAGTCATACTTTAACCTATACTAGAGGAGTGACCAACAGAACCGCGAAAAATCGACTGAAACTAAACCACTATCGAACCATACGGGTGCGTTAAACACCCATATGAATTTTAGAGAAATCACATTAAGTGGCAACTTTTTGATAGGAAATAAGCTTTAAACCCTTAACCTCCCACTCCATAAGACCCTTATCCTCCACTCCATAAGACGTGATGGCCAACTCCTCAACAACTCCTCAAGAGGAGGTTACTCCAGCCATTAATCTCGTTCTTCCTCTCAATGACCAACAATCAAATCCTTAAACTATCCGGCAACACTAAACACCAGGAACTAACATGATGACAGAGAACAGGGTTTGTTCAAGTGATTATTTTCTTATGATGAATAGAATGGCAGTTTCATTGCGAAACCTTACAAGAACTAAATTCATGCATGGATCATTAATTTTAATAATCAAACTAGCTTCATATTTGGCTTCGTTTCAGTTATCGAGTGTGAGGTCTACAGCTCCAATATAAGTCCAATAATTATAACAATAAATCAAAAGGGAGACGTTTAAAAATGTGGAAAATATGAAAGAAAAATCTGACGAATTCTTCAAAAAGGATGTCTAACAGTTTAGTATATGCTAGCTTAACCCGAAATAATTGAAATGGTTGATTGTCCTCTGTTCGATGCATGAACATACAAGCACAAATATCTTTGTATGATAATTAATGAAATAATATATCAGTCAACAGTCCCTAAACCAAATCTCCAAACACTTGTTCCATCAATAGCATGCGCTAGCCGCTAAGTCGCCAACAGACCGTATCAGACCTCAGAATCCAATTTCGAGTCCAAGTGGGCTTCTTTTAATTTCCATTTTTCTTTGGACGACGGATAGCAACAATCACATAACGCCCATTACCACCGGTCGAATAGCCGAAGCCATGTTAGTCTCATCACTTGATCATAGTTCAGAATTCTTATTCAGATAGGTCAAGAGAATCCACCGACTTACAGATGGTAAGGTGCTTCTAAGCTTTATGCAAACACATTCAAGGAAGGGGAGAAAAAGGATCTTGGTCAAACTTTTTACTGGTACAGATGATAACAGATATCCAAGTCCCAGTAGCATTAATACATTTCAGATCCGTCAAGGAATACGTATGCCATATATTGAGGTATATAAAAGGGTGGCAAAAATTTTGAAAGAAAAGGCTATGTCAACCATTAAGCTGTAGGTCTAGCCCCAGACCATCAATATCACCAAAATTTTGCAGTAATCTAGCAACTACAGTTGGGAAACCGCCGCAAAAACTAGACACAACTCTTGCTCTGGGTCACATACAAACTATCTAGAGTGCTCCCAATCATCGATCCTAGACAGTAGACAAGTACAACACTATAACTTTAAAATACCATCTCGACACTTATTTCAATATTGATGCCAGCTGAAGAAAACAAAATATCTTTGAAAGAAATCATGTGAACAATTTCGTCAACCAACTCCTGAAACAAATTATAATAACTTTTGCTTCTAAACACGTCAATCAGATAAAAAGGCTAATAAAGTTGTACCCTTAGATGTGAACATCCTGCAGAAGTGAAATTACACCCCTGATTACAGAGATTTCCCTCATACATACATAGAAACACATACAATACACTAACCTAACAAAGTCTCATTTCCAGGCAATGACACCATGAAAATAAACCATGATGATCGAAATCCAAATTTGGTCAAAAGTGTATATGTTCATTCATATACACAGATTACAAGATGATATGCTATACCAAGTAGTCTTCAGATAATTTAACTAACTTCTGCCTCTACAATGTTAATTAAAATATATTTCAAGAACAGATCTCAAGCACCCTCCTGCCTCCATGTAACATTGCTTACAAGTGAAGTTTCAAAGATCTTAATCGTTTCACTAGAAACAAAATTTTGAAAAATTGTACCTACTTTCACTGACTAATCTGAAAGCCATAGCATCTGACAATCTGGAGAAACATTCCAAATGACTGGGCTAGAAGATCCTATTCCCAACTCCACCTATCTAAGAAGAAACTAACAAAATATTTCAGCTCTTACTCTATGTCATTTGCGTAACAACAATAACATACAAGTAGCATTTGCAGAAATAGCCTAGTTCTTGTAACACATACCTTACTTGTATACAAATACATTACAACATACAAATTTTGTGTATCCATGTAAAAGTTGAAAAACAACCATGTCATAATCATTAATCATGTCGAAGAAAGTAAAATTAACAAGAGAATGAAATCTGAAATGATTCCACCAAGCTTGTATTTGAGCAATTCATCCAGCCAATGAAAGAAAAACATACATCCTAAGCATACAATAATAAACAGTAACCATGAGGATCATTAAAGCAACAAAGAGGTCAGATTCAACAATAGCTGACAAAAATAACCCCAAAATCCCTTTTTAGACATAAAATAAAAAAAGTAATGAAACCACTAGTACTATCAGCTGAAGTAACCAAAACACAGACAGCTTTCTCGGACCACATTCACTGTCTGTTCAGCTCTACCTTACGGTAACAATGTCATCAATCTTCAAAATCATCCGCACACACTCTGTCGCCAAGGTAATTGCACTAGTGCTCACCAACAGTGGCTGTACCACATTCTCCTCCAAGATGTTAGTTATCTGACCTTTCCTCACATTGATACCAGCATTAATTTCACCCTGTGCATGCCTATTCCTCAGTTCAGTAACAATAGCAATCGGATTCAACCCAGCATTTTCAGCCAATGTATAAGGAATCACCTCAAGAGCCTCAGCAAATGATCTCACACAGTAACCCTCCATTCCCTGCAATACCTTTGCCCAAGCACCCAACTGTCTTGATAGTTCAATCTCAGGTGCCCCGCCACCAGCAATCAAAAACTTCTTGTTCACAAGCACCTAACCACACACAGGGCATCATGCAAGCTCCTCTCAGCCTCATCAATGACCAACTGATTTGATCCACGAACTAGCACACTGGTAGTTCTTCCCATATCCTTAATCCCCGTAATTTTAACAAGCTTCCCACCATCTCCAAGTGAGACCTCCTCCACCAATTCTGCAAAGCCCAACTTCTCTGCCTTGAAATGTCAATATTAGCATTGGCAGACAATTCAACGTCTTGGTGATAAACTCAATCTCATCCCTCTCCACATCCTTGATCACCAAAATCTTTGCCTTAGCCAAATAATGCAATGACAAGTCTGTCACTGCATCCCTCAAAATACTCTTCTGAATCAACAAGACATTACATCCAGTTGCCTTAATCTTCTTAATCATCCCCAGAATATAATTCCTCTCTTCCTTCAAAATCCTATCCATCTGGGTATAATCTGAGACCACAATACTTTGCTCAATATCAGTTTTGGGAGGCGAAATCTGAAACTGTATTACAGCAATCTTAGCATTTTCAACTCTAGTCGGCCCGCCAGCAGCATGACTAACCTTCTTATCAAAAACTAGGCCTTTCACCAATTCAGTATCATCAACCGTACCCCCTAGTTTCTTGACAATTTTGATATCCCTCAAATCAACTAAATCAGGTTTAGCAGGGTCCACAACAGAAAGCACAGCATCAACAGCTAAAGGAGCTAAGAGGGTGGAATATTGCGAAACTACCTTCGAATTCAATGCCGTGCTCGCTGACTTCACGAGCGATTCGCGTCCGAGAGCTCAACTGGAACAGCCATCGCTGTGAGGACCTCAACAGCTTTCACTGAAGCTTTATGTAGGGCATCGGAGATGATCGTTGGGTGAATGCCGGATGTGAGGAGGGAGAGACAGGATTTAACAGTGCTCCTGCAATAACGACAACGGTAGTAGTACCATCACCGGCCACGACATCTTGAGATTTGGAAAGCTCGACGAGGAACTTAGCGGCGGGTTGAAGGACTTCCATTTTGTTAAGAATGGTGGCGCCATCATTGGTAATAATTACTTCGCCGTTGGCTGTGGAGATCATTTTATCCATGCCCTTGGGGCCTAAGCTTGTGCGAACAGCATCAGCCACAGATTGGGCGGCGGAGATGTTAGCCATTCGGATGTCGTCTTTTCGCTTGTTGTCGACGAAAGTATCGGTCTTTGATGAGGATGCGCGTGGGGCGGAGGCGACTGCTGCCGGAGCGGCCATTGTTGAGTCTGAAAATCGAAGAGTGGAGAAAAACCCTAGACTTCAGCGAGGAGAGG